TACTTAACTTTATAATCAAGGTTTAAAAAAGCGTGAAGCGTATTGAGGCGGCTTTCCTATATATAAGGCGAGGCGACAGCCTTAAAGCGCTTGAGGCGTAAACCTCAATTTGCTTGAGAGAAACTCTTTTTTTGAAAAAGTTTAAAAACAATGAAATTAACATTGAAGTAAAATCATTCTTAACACCACCAAATGACACAAAATAAGAGCAGTTTGAATAAAATCATTTTAATTTTAACATCACCAAAAGCATACTCTCGAGTGCTTAAAGAAGAAAAAGGGGAGAAATAAAAGGAAGGGGTGGAAATTTTAGTCCAGATCTAATAAACGTTAGGGAAGGTTGATAAAAGGAGAAAAGGGGGTGGGAATTTTTTCATGTTACAGTATAAGTAAAAGGAGGGGGGGCGGGAGGAGGGAATTGATTTTTTTGAGGGAGGGGGGGGGTATAAAATATGCACCAGCATGCAAATGCGTGTGAAACTGACGATCCCACCAAATATCCACAAAATCCCAAATAATCTGATACTTTGCAACATCATTATTTAGATTTCAAGCAATTTTTTCTTTTACCCAGTCCATAGCTTCGTAAATGAATCCCATTGGTGGGTACTTTTCGTAATCTGCAATTCGAAGAACTGTAATCAAGGGCTTTGGTGTGATGAGTATTTTAGCAACACCAGGCCAAAAATTTGCTTCTTAGAACTTGGTTCCGCATGTTTTTCCTAAATAATAGAGATGCATAAGCACTGGTTTTCCATTTTCTTGAAGTAAAAAAGGATTCAAGTCCATCCATTACTCCAAACAAGCTTTCTGAGATAAGAAATTCAGTGGAAAATCAAGTAAAAGCAGGTTTCATCAAATCTCCACCAGTAAATTTTCTTGCGATTGCTAAAACTCATGCATAGCTATGGATAAAATTTATTATTTTCTTGGTCTTGGTGAATACAAAGGCATGGAGGAGTAACCTACAACATTAAGTTAATGCAGTGTGCTGTACAAGGTGTCTGATACAATTTTTTTCTAAGCCAAGGCTTTGTCTTTTATCACTTGGATAACATTCTTTTCTTCAACTTCCTTAACGACTTTATCGACCAATCTAAAAAGCAACTTTATATCTTTTACCTGATCCGATGCATCAATGTACTTCAAAAAGAAAATACCATTCGGGTTGTTAACTAAAAAAATTATCAATGTACGCCCCTTTCCGTCAGTCCAACCGTCAGATATAATACTACAACCGGTCTCAATTCATGAAGTCGCTTCATCAACAATGACAGCAACAGCATTTTTCTCTTCTTTTAAAATCCATGTTCACAATTCATGAGTAGTTAAGGGTTTAAATCACCTTCCGAATTCACATATATCATTTATCGTGGTCCAGTATGATGGACTTGTAGCTATAATAAACGGTATTGAATTCTCATAGAAGAAACGTCCAATAGACCTGCATATTCGTCTTTTTTCGCTTTTCTTCCAACTCTCAATCAAGGTAACTTGATGCATTTGAAAGCCCGTAGAACATTCAGCACTCCCATTACCAATATTTGCTTGTTGTATAAAAAAATCCACGGTTTCATGAACTTGTTTGTTAAATTTGATAGCACTTGAGCCTGTTGGTGCTTTTTTATAATTGTGGATCGTTTTCAGTAGAAAATTGCTTTTACATTCCCATTTGACAAACCTCCACTATTTCTTCGAATGCACTGCTTTCACACTCAATACATCTCAATGAGAACTCGTGGATAACCTGCAACATTCTTATGTGTTTTTGCAAGTTACTTCTTTAGCTTTTTAACTCTACCAGTGATCCTCTTCTGACAAAAATTGCACTCATCATATATATATAAGTTTTGCCTTCCTCCGACTTGATTGGAGGAAGTTCAACACAATACTTCCAACCAGAATCAGTCCTCCTACTTTTTTCGACAACTTTTCCATATCTTCAAATTTTCAATTTTGTGAAATAGTCAAGAAAAAACAACAACTAACAATCATAGTAAGCTGAAATTGATTATACGATTCCATGTATCTAATAATTAGTTTATACAATTATACACGCATATGAGCAAAAAAAAAAGAAAAGAAAGTATTCTGTTTAATTCTCGATAACAAACAATAATATATGTATATAACAAAATATTATCAAAGTCTAAAATTAAAATCTACAAATTAAAATCTACGAATTAAAATATTTTTCAAACTCGCATTTTAACTCTTTTTTTTTATCTTTATAATGCGTTCCAGATGAACGCACTCATTTAAACTAAAGTCATTATGTTACATATTTCGTAATTACGAACTCTCAACAAAATCCTAGAACTAAAAAAAATAACATCAAAATATTTAAAGCAAGCTGGAATTTTTAAAATTGTTGTCGGAGCAGAATCAATAGCTGGAATCGAGGGCTGAAGCGGAACTCCGAGCAGCGTGAAAAGCAGAGCTCCCAAAAGCGCGGAGGCGGAAGTGGAGCTCAACGCAACACGGAGTCCCGGAGTGGTGCTCAACGAAGAACGGAGTGGAGCTACCAGCAGCCTTAAAACGAAGCTTGACGCAGCGTGGAAGACCAGAAGGTGGCGCGTTGGCGAGGCAGACGATTTTTTTGCAGCAAAAGGTTTAGGCATCGGAAGCCGGAATTGGGCAAAAATGCCTTAATTAGAACAAATAAAAGTTACGAGCGACATACGTGGCCTTTTAAGGATCATTGCAAATAATGTGACGTCTCAGGATCATCTCAGCGTCTCATTGAACCAAAAAAGCAGATGATTTTTTAATTTAAATGAGGCTAACGCCTTAGGGCAAAACGCCAACTCCTCGCCGTCTTGAGACGACACTTTTTTAAACGTTGGTTTTAATGTTGCTTTTATTCCCCAAATTAAACACTTCATGTTGATTTTCAAGTTTCAAGTTTTTGTTTTTATTCGATGTGTTTATTTGATGTTTTTATTCGATATGTATAAATATATATATATATATATATATATATATATATATATATATATATATATATATATATATATATATATATATATATATATATACACACACATATATATATATATATATATATATATATATATATACACACATATATATATATATATATGTATGTATATATATATATATATATATATATATATATATATTTATATGTATATATATATATATATATATATATATATATATATATATATATATGTATATTGTATATATATATATATATATATATATATATATATATATATATATATATATATATATATATATATATATATAAATATAAATATATATATATATATATATATATATATATATATATATATATATATATATATATATATATATATATATATGTATATATATACATACATATATATATATATGTGTGCATATATATATATATATATATATATATATATATATATATATATATATATATATATATATATATATATATATATAAATATATATATATATATATATATATATATATATTTATAAAGTGAAAATATTATAAAGTGCGCAAGATGGCTTTTAAAGATTTGATGGGACTCTGATATTATATAAAAAAAAATCCTTAAAGCAGTATTTGAAAACTTATCTCAAAAGAAGCGGAAACAAATATAATCTTTAGCACTAATAATTATTTTATATAAAAATTAATTTTTTTGACTTTTTTGCCTAAAATATGTTTTTTAAACTTAAATTTAACATAATTTTTTTTTTCCGGTTCTTATTTCAACTTTTTTTTTGCGTAGATGTTTTTATATAATGAAATTACTTTTTTATATAAAACAAAAGTAAAGATTTTATTATAAGCTTTTAATACTCAAAAATATGCCTACCAAGTTTTATTAAATATTTTTTAACTATCATTTTAGTATAACATCCAATTACATATACTATTTTATCTATATTAATATACAAAGTCTTATACTAAAAATAATAAAAGGAATAGGGAAAAATAATATTATATATTTTTTTGTTTAGCTTAAATCTCGTATTATTTTAAAATAATAAATTTTGCAAGAATTGTATTTTTATTTTATGGAATTCTTCAAAAAATCCAAATAGAGTTCTTAGTTGATAAAAAACTTTCCACATGCTATATGTGTAAAATAGTATAATAGCATAAAACATTAGGATAAAAACAACTCCATCTTGACCTGCACTACCCAAAGATGAGTCTTTGGTTTAAGTTAAGTTCTATTAATAACAACGAAAATTAAAAATCAATCATATATGTAAAATATACTAACATTAAAATTAAAAATTAAAAAAATTTATAATATAAGCAATAATAAATAAATAAGACCTTAAAATACTTTTATGCATCTACAAGTTTCATCCACATGTTTTATTCACATGTTTTTTAAAAAAAGGTCATAAAAAATTGGATGATTTTTTCTATAATATAGATTCAATTTCAGTAGTTGAGAAGCTATTTGAGTATCTTGATGCATCACGAATAATCCGTGAAGAAATTTAAATTTTATAAGGCGTAATTAATCAAATTGATGCTGCAGATAAAAAAATTGTTCAGATTTGATTTTTTGGGATTGACAGATTTACCATCATCACTATGTCACCAGATGGTTTCTTTCTGCAACTTTTAAAAGTTTAAAATATCGTCTTGAAAAAATCGAGACCATAAAAAAACACAGTTTATTTTAATTGAGCTTCACCCATGCGTCCCCTATTTTTGACAATGTATGTATGTATGTATGTATGTATGTATGTATGTATGTATGTATGTATGTATGTATGTATGTATGTATGTATGTATGAATGTATGTATGTATGTATGTATGTATGTATGTATGTATGTATGTATGTATGTATGTATGTATGTATGTATGTATGTATGTATGTATGTATGTATGTATGTATGTATGTATGTATGTATGTATGTATGTATGTATGTATGATGTATGTGTGTATAGGTATAAGGTAAATAACTGTACGCATTTTTTTTTTAATTATAATTAATGTGTTTACAATACCTTCATATTTAGATCCGTCAGGATAAGTCATTATGCCACTTCCTTCTTTTTTGTTAAGCTTGTATTCTCCATCAAAAACAGCTCCAGTTGCAAAGTGATAAACTCCCTTAAAATATAAATGTAAAGTTACAAAGTGGTACATTCATAGAGCGGATCCATACTATCTAGTAAGGAAGGAGGGAGGAGGAGCGATTTTAAGTTTTTTTTTTTTGTTAATTTGCTGGATCCAGACTATTTAGTAAAAAAAAATTTTTTTTAATTTCATATTACTTTATCATAATTTTATTAAAACTTCATAATACAGTTTTCTTAATTGAATTCAATTTTCAAATAAAATATACAATAAATTTTTTTTTTTGTTAAATATACAATAAATTTTTTTTTTTGTCGAAATAACTAAGGAAAGATCGGGGAGGGGCGATTGCCCCCATCATACCCTCCACCCATCCACCTATGAATCCGCCCTTGATACATTCTATTATAATATAAGTTTTTATAACAAAGATTAAGATTTAAACAGTTCTTGAAAAAATATTAAATTAGATAAAAAACATTAGGATTAAAACACATTTTTTGAACAAATAAAAAAAAGCTATTTAACATAAAAAATAATGTTGTACCTTTCCATTTCTTTTGCCTAGAGCATACATTCCCTCGTAGGTATCTCCGTTTGGAAAAAATGCTTTACCCATTCCGTGCCGCTGTTCAGCTTCATTTCGTTCTCCTTCATAATGCTAATTATAACCAATATAGGCATGTTACAAAAACTTTGCATTTCTATTTGCAGATAAATCAACAATATTTGAAAGCAAGAATTTTTTTTTTAATTTAATAGTTTAAAAAAATATTTTAAAATATTTTATCAAAAGTTTTTCAAAAACTATTTGATTAAAATAAATTCTTTTAAAGATTCGATTTTTTTTCAAATGAAATATCTTAAAAATGCAAAACTTGTATTTATGATAAGTCTTATGGCAACCAAAATAATTGTAAATTTTTTTAATAATGCTTGTAAACAATTGTAACATTAATTTATCTTTTTTGTCTCTGTGAGTGCAAAAAAAAAAGACAAAAAAAAAAATAAAAAAAAAAGAGAAAAATAAATATAAAGATAGAAAATAAAAATGAAAGAGAAAAGAAAAGGAAAAGACAAAAATCCTAAGTTAAAAGAAAAAAATAAAAATATAAAAATTGCTTGTTTTTGAAGAAATGTAAAAGAATATTTTTTAGATTTTATTAATTTTGAGGGACGTTAGTCTTTTTTGTTGTTGTTGTTGTTTGTTTTTGTATTCTTGTGCATTGTTAATTGGGCTTTGTAGAGTATAATTCATTTTGTTATATAATTTAGTGCGTTGTTTGCATCGTATGTTTTTTAATTTAAATGTTTTTAATTTTATGTTAGTTAGACATTTTAAAAAATGCATATACTTTTGAAGCTGTATATGTATATGTATTTATATATGTATGCATATGTGAGAGCATGTACGCGCACGTGTGTATTTATGTACAAATATATGTGTATCTATGCATGTGGGTAAATATATGTATATATCTTTATATTTGTGTTTGTGTGTGCATGTAAAAGTATTAAAATTTCTCATTTTTTAAATTTTTTTTTGTTTTTCTTTATTTTATCTTTAATTTTTATCATGTTTTTTGTTATAGTTTATTTCTTTTAGTTCTAAATATTTATCGTAGCCACAATTATTACTATTTTTATCTTTACTATTATTAATCATATTTTGTTAATTTCAATTTAAATAAATCTTTTTTTTTCTTGTTAGTTGTTACGTTTTATCAGTCAATTATTGGTAACTAACTTATATGTATATTTAGCTATTGTGTTTATAAAAACAAGTGACTTATTATTTGATTATTTTTTTAATTTAATTAACATTATAATTGTTATTGTTTTTTTTTTTTTTATTATTATTGTGATTCTTATGTTTATTACTATAAATATTATTTTTACTATTATAATTATTATTCTTATAATTATTACTAACTATATATATAAAGATCTATATTTTTGGTATTTACTTGATATAAGTAGAATTGTTATTTGTAAATATTCATAAAATTATTTTTCAGAATATATGATATGATATTAAATTGTTTACCCCAAGATTATTTTCTTCCTCAGGTATATCATCTTCATCAGACATTTTAAAGCAAGTAAGAATAGAGTTAAAAATATTGGTTTAAACATGAATTTCGAATTAAATTTACATTCGAACTTTCGAACTTTTAAAAAAAAATTTGTTTCAAGCTACTTTAAACTTTATTTTTATAGATAGTTCTCTGGACAAATTTTTTTGTGCGGATAAGTGTTATACTTAAACAACAACAACAACAACAACAACAACAACAACAACAACAACAACAACAACAACAACAACAACAACAACAACAACAACAACAACAACAACAACAACAACAACAACAACAAGAATAATAATAATAATAATAATTATAACAATAACAATAATTACAACAATAATAATGATAATAAAAATAAAAACATACGAGAAATGTATTATATATATATATATATATATATATATATATATATATGACTACATAATAAATAAATAAAAACAATAAATAAGTAACGAAATATTTTGCGACATATATAAGTAGCAAAATATTTTGAGAAGATATACGTCGACAAAAATACAAATAATGAGCGTTACGAAATATTTACATGGCGGTCTCAAATTTATTAAAGCTTGAAATCAACAAACGTCCAAAAAAAGTATAAGCTTAGCAACAACTTTTTTTGATTATTTTGGGCCAAAATTATTACCCAAACTTGGAAAGATGAACTTTCTTGAGAATGAAGAAACTTAAAGCTTGAAAATTTTATTAAAAAAAAAAAAAAAAGGAGGAGATTCTAAAGGATCATTTTAATTTTTTTATTTTAATTTTGTTATTTTTCTCTGTTTTTGATATTTCAGACTTAAAACAAGCATATCTCAGCTTCTATGAACTATTTTTAAATGAAATTTTTAGGGTTTGTTCATCTGTATATAAGTTCGTACGTGACCCAGAATCTATTTAATTCTTTGAGTATTTTAGGAATTATGGGAGTTTTTTTTTGAAATTTACCCCTTTCTTAATTTCCCTAACTACGTAGAGCTGCCATTATGGATCTAAACATAGTATAAGTTTTTACTGGTTCACATACTAATTTCATGTATATCCTGCATGCAAAACCAAACATCAAGCAAAACGAATGTACAGATAACTAGAACTCTTTGTTCTAAGAAAGTGATGATTTAATCATTTTTTTGCTGATTCAGCATTAATAATACAAATATAACTTCTTTATGTTGAAAAATAAAATAAACTTTCCATTAAATTGTATTTTTCATTTTTTTACTAGACGACCACCTTAAAGTACAATTTTTATGTTGCACTGCATATTGATTTTAAGGACCTGAAATGAAAGCCGAGCGAAATATTTTTAATGTTGTTTGTCTTTTGTATAAATGTAAAACCAACTCAACGCCTGTTTCTTGGTGAATTTTTTTCTTTTTTCAATTTTTTATTAAAGAATTTACAATTAAAAAATTACGATAATATTAGCTTATCCAGGGTTTATACGGTCAGGGAAAGTCAGGAAAAGCCTTTTTTAAATGGGTTAAGTAAAATCAGAGAATTCTTTTCGTGGTCGGGGAAAACAATTGGTTTTTTTTAGTAAGTCACGGGGCAATAAAACATTTCAAATTCATAATTTTTTATAAACTAAAATAAAAAACTAAACAATTTTAAATGTAAATTTTTTTATGGACTGTTTAATATTTTTATTTTTTGAAGTTTTCAATTTTTATAAAACTCAATAATCTACTATTTAATGTTCATCAAAGATTTTTGTCAATCATTTTTAAATAAAAATTTTAAAAATTTTAAAACTTAACTATAATCTTAATTATTACCTCTTATCTTTAATATTTATTTCAATTTTTTAAAGATTTCACATTTTAACCCTTTCTTTTTTATCTAAAATTATTTAAAAAAATACATATTTGTTTTATTTTTATCTCTTTTTGTATTTTACATGACTCAGTAGGGTCATAGCTATCAATTTGATATCAATGCTATCAGTCATGTAAATACATAAATATAGTTTATGTGCTATCAATCAGGCCTGATTAATAGCACATTAACTATATTTATGTATTTGCCTAAAGTTGTATAAAAGTTATTAAATAAAAAAATTATTATAAATAAATATTAAATTCTTTTGTTTCATGCAAGAAATGTAGACTCGATTGAAGTTGTCTTCATTTTGTTTGTGATATTTTTCTTTTCAAGATGTCTAAAAATATTTAAAAAAAAATATTTAAAGATAGCTGACTGTGTTCTAAATTTAATTTGATGATATGTAAAAGTCCAGTGGACACTCAAGCAAGATAAAGGCTTTGAAAAGTTGATATAACATCTAGCAAGACGGGCGTTGTTGTGCTAGAGAGTCATGTAAAGAATAGACTTCATGAAAAGATGGTTCAAGAACAGAGAAAAATTTAAAATTTTTTTGTAATCAACATATTCCTATTCATACAGTTCATGTGTAAAATAAAGGATGGACTGTCTCCAACGGTATTACACCCTTATTTTAGAGAAGTAAGCCTAAAATACCCCACCAAGTTTTCAGAAAATAATCTTAAGTTATGTTCTTATTCTATTTAGTGCCGGGACCATTTTTGTGGAAAAACTTTCAGCATATTGGTAATATAAAAAAAAGTTCCGCAATTCAAATCTAAAATAAGACGTTATTTAAGGTGGTACTTGAGTAAAAAAAAAGTAAAAATTGAAAATTTCAAAGTGAATGTTTTTAAGTAAACTGAGCTATGCAGAAAATGTCTATGTAATTTGTTTTATTTAAAATAATTCAGATGATACTTAACTTTCCATTTTAAAAAAGGCACTCTTAAACTCCAAACTCAACTTTTGTAGCAACGCTCATAGCAACCAATTTTGATTTACTGAAAGCCTCTAAAAATGTGTAAAAACCCATGGTTGGGTTGCTTTAAAGTCATTAAATTGTTTTACAGAAATATAAACTTCATGCAAAAAATCGCCAATTAAATACATGTGTTACATGACATTTAAATTGTTTAAAAGTTGAAAAGCTGCAAGTGAAATAATATTAGTTTACGTTTTTAATCATCGTTTATTTGATTTAGTTACATGTTTTTTTTTTTTTTTTTTTTTTTGAGCTTTGTTATAGTTAACTTAATTGGTTTTTTATTTGTTATTATTTTCTTTTTTTGTTCAAGTTATTTAATTATAATGTACATTATTAAAGAAAAATAACAATAAAAAAAAAATTAAGCTTAGCTACATTTTTTTGTTATTATTCTTTTTTTATTCTTTATAGTTGTATTTTCTAAACGGACATTCAAAGGTAACCAACACACACACACACAAAACACGAGAAGAACCAGATAAGATTCCTCCTTCTAACCCACCTATTTCTTCAAATAAATCTGTCATATTTATCAAGAGGTACATCATTACCTTCTAAAATCACTAATGAAGCCAGGTCAATAAACTTTACATCATCTCCATTCACCAATGATACCAGTTTGTTTTCTTGTGTAAATTCTTCAAACCCAACTGTATATTATTGATTTTTTATACTTTTTTCTATTAACATTTTTATGGAAATTATTAATTTAGTTGCAACATGCCATGAATGTGACAAAAAGACTATGAGTCGAACATTTAACGTCTTAAGAAAGCAAGGCTTGTCTATACCATTATTGTTACAATGTTCAAGTTGTTGTTGGTGTACAACCTTTCATTCAAGTAGAGAATGTAAATGCAAAAGCAGTCGTGGTAGACCTTTTTGAGGTTTATGTACGTTTTGTTATTGCTATGAGGAAAATTGGAAAAAGTTATACCAGTTTAGAAAAACTCTGTGGATGAAAAAAGTAATTGGAACAGTGCTTTTCCATTGCTCTTAAGCAAAAGATATTATAAGAATATAGATGGCATTAAATGTGCCTACATACTCCTGATAGTTGCTGTAAATATCAGGCTGACAAAATAAATGGCATAGCAACATACAAACATAAGGGAGGAATTACCAATTGTTGTCCTTGAAGAAAAAAAGACTGTTTTTTTTAGGTTTGAGTGATGACAATTTATAAAAAAAAATATCTTTATGGCAAAACTCAAAATAACTAATAAATAAATAAGTCACTAAATGGAATGATTTGGAAAGGGTTTCAAAAAGATACCTTTGTAAAACCACTGTTGAGCTAGGTGTGCTTCTGCAGTTATAAATTTTAATGATAGTTCAAATGGAACTCTAAAGGTTTTAAAGGGCATAGGTATTCCAGGATTTTATGCAAATCAGTTCTGTGTTTCAAATAACAACCAAAGAGTAATGTCAATAAAAAGGAAATCGAAAAAAGTATATTCAAATAGTTCATAAATAGTTTCATAAATACTAATAAATCAGAAGAAATGAAGTATGGTTATGGTTTATATTAGAGATTTTTAATTATTATTTATTTACGGTGATCAATCATGAAAATCTTTTTTTTTTTGAATCTTCAAAAAAAATTTAGTGATATTTTAGTATATTATTACTTAAATTGCATTTATATCAAAATTGAATTTTTTGAACAGTACGTCATATAACTTTTGATTGATTTGAGCTTTACTCTTGAAATTTTGTATGGCGGTTATTTTTTATAAGATACAGGTTTAGAACCAACATCTTTTGAAAAAATATTTTTTGGTCCAGAATTACCCAAGCCCAAAGTTTTATTTTTAAGCCTTTTTATAAGCAAGGTATTACCTTAGATCTAGTTATGCAATCAGGCTAATTCTGCTCCCATACCTGTAAAATTATACTATAAACAAACTGTAAAAATTTTGTTATCATTCTACTGGTGGCTTTTTCTGAATTTGACGCACCGCAAAGTGACCATTTTGAGACCTTTGGACCCAAAAAAGGGTTTTCTATAAATTTTTTTCTTTTTTTTTTTTAAAATAAGGCATAGTTATCTGTATATAATTGTTGTACCAAAGTATCAAATTTAAATAGTAAGAAATAAAGAATTTGGATTTTTCACCCAAGTACCACCTTAATACTTACGGACTTTAATATCGTAGATTATAAACATGAACTTATAAAAAGTATATGTGTA